AATCCAGATAGTTAATTTCCAATGAATCAAATGCTTTTTCGATATCGATTGTTAAAATTAGTGAGTTAAGGTTTTTGAATTGTTTCCCATGGTGGATAAGATTTATCGTTTTCCGAATATTATCAGAAATGTCTCTTTCTGGCATAAAGCCAGTTTGGTCTGTGTGAATATATGATGTTATGATATGTTTGAGTCTAAAGGCAATGATTGAGGTAAATAGCTTGTAATCAATATTTAGCAAGGAGATGGGTCGGTACGATTTAGGGTCTGTTAGGTCTTTTCCTTTTTTAGGTATTAATATTATATTTGCTTTCTTCCAGGTATCCGGTAGATGGCCTGATGCGAGAACTTCATTACAGGTGTCGGTAAGTGGTTTACAAAGAATTTGGGCAAATGATTTATAGTATTCAGACATAAAACCATCGGGCCCTGGGGTTTTATTGTTTTTTAAATTTTTGATCGCATTAACAATTTCTTGTGTTTCTATCGGTTTCTTTAATACCTCTTGATGTTCTTCAGTTAATTGTTTTATTTCCTTTACAGAATCAAGAAAATTTTGTATATTCTCAGGGTTAGGATTGCAGGATGAGTAAAGAGTCTTGTAGTAAGACTCAAGTATTTTAATAATATCTTTTGTTTCAGAGTTCAATTTCCCATGTTGATCTCTAAGATTATAAATAAAACGGTTTTCACGTTGTTTTTTGAGCCTCCACGCTAAAAATCTCAATTTTCTAGGGTTGTTATTTGTTGTAAGTTGATGAATATGAAAATCTGATTTTTTGATATTTAGAGAATCTAACATTTCTAACTGTTTTCTGATGTTCTGTAGTTGTTTATATACTTTTTGGTTGCAGGTAAGTTTGTGTTTTTGTTCTAATTCTTGGATATTTTGAATGAGCTTTAATCGAATTTCCCTTTTTTCTTTTTTACAGTACGCAAGAAGTGCAATACATTTCCCTCTAACCAGAGGTCATTTCGGGGGGGATCGCAGGTCCCCCGGGTGAGGTACAGGGGGCGGGGCACATGACAAAGCCCCGCCCCTGCTTCCGGCCCTCATTCAGCCAGGAGGAGGCAGGAGAAGAGGGAGGGTAAGTTGCTTCCTCCCTGCCTCTCCCCACCCCTGCCTGCCTGGGGCCAGGGAGGGCCTTCGCGGGGCTTCCTCGCACTCCCTCCGGCTTTGCAGGTCCACCGCCGGGCCCCTCATAGGGCTCAGCAGTGGAGCTGCAAGGCTGGCGATGGCGGCCGGGACCGTTGGGGGCGGAGTGTGTGGCCTTATGACACACGTCCGGTGCTGTCAGGGGGTGTGGCCTTATGACACATTTCTGGTGATGTCAGGGGGTGTGGCATATGCTAATGAGTTATGCTAATTAGTTATGCTAATGAGTTCCCCTAGTTCTTTTTCTACAAAACGACCCCTGCCTCTAACTACTGCTTTGGAGGCTTCCCATAAAATGCTTTTGGAAATATTTGCTCTTGAATTTAAATTAAAATATTCTTGGATTTGAGATTGTATTTCTGCTTTGGCTTTTTTGTCAAATAAAAGTAGTTTGTTTAATTTCCAGTGGTGTGAGTGGTTAATTTTTTCCTTGAACTGAAATAGACATTTGACAGGGGCATGATCTGACCAGATTTGAGTAGTTATTTTGTGAAAGATCTTGTGAGATAAAAATGTAATCAATTATGGAATATGTGTTATGTTGATTTGAGTAATATGTATAATCTTTGTCTTGTGTGTGTTGTTTCCTCCATATGTCAATTAGGCTTACAGTTTTGAATAAGTTACTTAGCTTCGTTTGCGGGGTGTGTCTTGCTTTAGTAGGAGACTGTTTTGTTTTGCCTGATTTTAAATCCAAATTTGGGTCCATTAAAAAGTTTAGGTCACCCCCTACGATAATTGAACCACTGTGGTACTGAAATAGTTCCATAAAACAGTGAGTAAGAAAACTGATTTTGTCCTGATTTGGGCCGTAGATAGATGCTAGTGTAAAAGGTTTGTTATTCAGCATTCCTTTTTTAAAAATAAAGCACCCGTTTGGGTCTGCTATAAATTTTTCCATAGTGAAGTTTGTAGGGTGTATATTTCGAGTCACCTAAATTTTGAAACTGACATGGAATTTGGTCCCAAAATCACTTTGCTGGTTTCAGCCTCTAGGGTAGAACAAAGAGCGAATTGCTTGGAAAGGGATGATTTGGAGACCCCGCTGACTTGCGGCAGGCTCTCCCCAACCTTTCCGAGCCTGTGGGCACCTTTGGGAATGCTGACACAGGGCAGTGGACACAACCAAAAGATGGCTGCTGCGGGAGGCAGAGCTAGCCACAAAATGGCAGCCACAGAGGGCAGAGTTGCATACACATACAGAGAAGGCTCAAGCGCAGAGGGGAAAGGGGGGTGGTTTAAAAAGGACACAGGAAACGAAGAATGAGAGAGCGCCTGAAGCCGACACTGGCAGGAGTTGCCACTGAAACCATTTTAGTTTGATCTGCCCAGATGACTGGCGTTCCAGTGGCCAGTCTGGGGGGCCCTGTTGAGAAAGTGCCCAACCTGGCCCCACCCACTTTCTAACGACACTTGCTGGGCCCCAGGAAAGGTCAGGGGGTGCTGTGGCTCCCATGGGCACCATGTTGGATACCCCTGCCCCGGGGCCACCCAAGTGGGGCGACTCCCCGTGAGGTCGCTGGCCGAAGAGGCCTTCCCTCTCTGACACGCCCCCTGGGACACACGTGAGTTTCCCCAACAGACCAAACAGGTTGATCCAAATCGGGCGCCGTGCCTGCGAGAACGGAGGAGAAAACAGAACTCACACGTGACCAGGTTATGTCTGACGCAGGGCAGGGACCCAGACCTCTAATGTGTGAATAGCCCCTCTGTATAGTGCCTTGATCAGGCCTGTGTGCAGTTCTGGAGGCCTCACTTCAAAAAGGTTGTGGACAAAAACGAGAGGGTGCAGAGGAGAGCGACGAGGATGATCAGGGGCCTGGAGACTGAGCCCTACGAGGAAAGGCTGAGGGCCCTGGGAACGTTTAGTCTGGAGAAGAGGAGACTGAGGGGGGACACGATTGCTCTCTGTAAATATCTGAAAGGCTGTCATTTGGAGGAGGGCAAGGAGCTGTTCCAGTTGGCAGCAGAGGAGAGGACCCAAAGCAACGGTTTTGAATTACATGCAGAAAGGTACCGGCTGGATATTAGGAGACACTTTTTCACGGGTCAGAGTGGTTCAGAGGTGGACTCAGCTGGCGAGGGAGGTGATGAGCTCCCCTTCACTGGGCAGCTTTCAAGAAGAGGCTGGCGGAATATTTGTCAGGGATGCTTTAGGTTGGTCCTGCATTGGGCAGGGGGTTGGACCAGATGGTCTGTATGGCCCCTTCCATGATTCTATAATAAAGAGGGCCGCACTCCCCCATCAATCCGGACGACTCTCCAGCTCCCAAAAGTCTGCAGATGCTGCCGCCAGGTCTGCCGGGGCACGTAACGTTGGCATCTCTCCTGCTCCCATTCCCAAAATAGCCACTCAAGCCCTTGTCTCCTTCAAGCACTGACAAGGTATCTGGATGTGGCAGGCGAAAGGCCCAGAACGGAACGGGGGCGGGGGGGCCCTGTCACCGGAGTGGGACACACCCGCCTGCTGTGATTTGAGCACACTTGAGTGTCGGGCGATTGGGCCGCTTCGGGAAAGCGGTTGCTCGCACGGCCTCCCCGCGTGCCCCTCCTCCCCAAAGCTCCCTTTGCCGGAGTCCTCCATTAGATCCTTGTTCCGTGGGACCGACGCAGCCCTGGAGGGGCAGAACGCCGGATGCTGCCAAAATCCATCATGTAAACAGCGGCTCTGTTGATCCAAGCTCTCCGCTGAGGAAGGAGGTGGGGGGGGGGATGCAAGGTCAGGTGGGGTGTGGAGCTGGCAGCGGGGGGGAGAGGAGAAGCAAGAGAGGACAGGTTGGACCCTGTGTGCCCCCCCCACCCCCGCCCAATGGGCTTTGGCTTCTGTTTGGGATTCACGGGTTCTGCCAGGGGGGGGGCGATAGGAGGCCTACCACCTCCCCCCCACCCCCAGCCAGGACACAAGAGGAAAGTGCTTAGCCACAGGAGAACGTATCCCAAGCGGACTGCCCCCAAACGGAGCAGGCTCTAGCCCATTGTCGAAAATACACTCCAGTTTCTGAGCACGCACAGAGGGCCTTTCCCACTCTGAGCGCTCCTCACTCCACTGGGATGAAGGAGAAGGCCTTCTAAGCCAAAAGAAGAGTTGCGAGTTTCCGGCGGGGGCGAGCCTCGTCTTTTTCCACCTGTGTGTTTTCGCCAAGAGCGGCGACACCTTCCCCAAGGGTGCATGAGATCCAAAAGCCAGGTATTTGCACGGGGGAGGGGGGGGAGGTTGAGGCTTGTGCTTTGGCAGCTGGGCTAGGGTTGCCAACATCCAGGTAGAGCCTGGAGTTCCCCTGCAGTGACAAATGCTCTTCAGGCTATACGGATCAGTTCTCCCCTGGAGGAAATGGCTCTTTTGGAAGAGAGACTCTGTGGCATTATACCCCACCGAGACCCTTCCCCTCTGACTTCCACCCTCCCCAGGACACCCCCCCAAATCTCCAGGAATTTCCCAACCCAGAGTTGGCAACCCAGATTTATGCCCCAGCCCAAGGTGTAAATGACTATGCGGGTGGGAGGGACTCTGTGTGCAAGAGAAGGGGCAGATTACCCACAATTCCCACAATTAACCCCCCCCCCATTTTTATTCCACCTCGAGCCGCGAAAGAGACAGTGGGCACGGCTCTCCCAGTCGTCCCCTCCCACTCGTACACCCACAACTAGATATATCCAAGAAGCCCCGATGTAGGGTGGTGTTTGGCCCGGGAGGGCTGCGGGGCCCTCGTTGGTCTCAGGTCTCGGCCAAGGAGAAGCCGGCCGGCCGTTTGTTCCATAACCTGGAAATAAGCAACGCGGAGTCCAAACCAAACTGCACAAGAACTTCTATAATCAACATGATTCAACAGTAAAATTCCACCGACAAAGCTAAGAAACTCTTCCATCAAAATTAAAAAAAAAACGAACAAAAAAAACTCCGTTAAAGCTGAAAAAGACCACATTTTTTCTTTTTTTTTTGTGTTTAGTTTTGTTTCCCTGCCAAAAACAGGAATGCTCAGCCACGTAGCCAGTCTTATACACCAAGTCCTGCCTCTGTTGCGTTTCACAAACTTCACACACGATAACTCTGCTTCAGAAAATCCACCGGATGCGCCCGTGTGGTAGGAATTCAGTCACAACCACGTTCTCCCCCGAACCGGACGACAAAACCCAACGCTGCTCGGAGACAAACCCCTCCCCCGGTCGGATTCTTGCCACGGTCCGACGGAGGCAAGGAGGCCATTTTGTTTGTGATTCTTTTGCCAACCGAATAAACAAGGAAAGGCTTCCAAAATGGCCACCGGTGGATAAATAAGCAATCTTCTTCCGATATCAAAAGTCCCATTTGGGGATTGTGCTTGTCAGTCGAGTCTCCCCGATCCAAACACTGGTAGAGAAAAGGCCTCCTTCATCTTATATCCGGTCACCCTCTGTGCACCCGAAGGAGCGCAGGGGGAGGAACCACGATGGGCTCAGGGTTTGGGGGTGTAGTAAGGACAAAATGGATTCCCTTCGGCATCCACATCAGCTGCGGAGGCGGGGTTCAGGTGGTACCTGTTCCATGTTATACGCCAGGTTTTGCAACCTGTTGGGGGGGGGGTCAGTGGCTGTGTCTCTTTAACCCCTTTCCTAAGGGACTCAAAATGATGGAAGGCCAGTACCTTCAGCACTGGCACTATGCCCCCCACCCCCGTTGTCTGCGAGGGGTACCAAAGGAGAGGCGATGGTATGCTCTCCTTCCCAGAGGCCGACCGAGCCAATAAGAAAAGGAGGGGAGGACTCGGAAACAGAGCTCAACTTTCCACCACTTGAAAGTCACGCACCATTTCGAAAACCAAATCCCAAATTTCAAAACGGCACCTTTGAAACTTCCATTCTGAGGGGCACTTTAGTGGGGGGGGGGGAGGTAAACCTCAACAGATTTTTTTTTTTTAAGGCAATAATGGAATCAGATCAGTAGTACTTTCTCAAATGCAACCTTTCCCACCCTCGGGTCTTTCTCCCTAAGACCGCTACCCCCCCACAGCATTGTCTGAGGTGTGTTTTTTGAATGAATGACAAGAAAATAAATTTGAATTTGTGCATGGAAATCATTGAAGAAGTGACTGTTTGAATCAATGCCTGGGAAGGCTGGTTCCCAAATTCATTTCGACCGACCTGCGTGAATGGGTACGTGAACCCTTCTGGGTTGAAACGGAGTGCGGCCCACTCACTAACAGATACCTTCCGCTATGAGGCTTGAAAGCCAGGAAACGGGTACTGCGGTACCCCGTTAACCTCGTCCGTACCGCATTCCACAGTGGACTCAGTTGACCTGGGGTGAGGGACTGAGGTGGGGGAGGGGGGCTCAGCCCTTTTGTAGGTAGAGAGAGAAAGAGGGGGAAATGGGGTGAGACTGGACAGGAAGTGGGGAGGTCGTATCCCTCGTTCTGTCAACCCAAGCCAGGCCAGAATCCATCAAAAGGGGACGATCGCCAGGAGAAAAGGATCCATGTCCCAGTAACCCCCTGATTGCTGCAGGACGGCTCAGGCACTGACCCCACGGTCAAGCGGCCGGGGCTAGGGGGGAGGGGTGCAGGGTGGCTCGTCCCGTCCACCCCAGCCGTGCTGAGTTCTCCCCTCCCCGCCTCGGGGTTGGAGACGCAAGCGGAGGGCGCTCGGCTGCCCCTCCCTCTCATACTTTGTAGTAGATGTTGGCCGGACTCTGCGGCGGCATCTCTTGGACGATGTAGACGGGGTGGCCGTAGTCCCCGCTCACCTTCTCGTAGTGGGGGCAGAAGGCGCTGTCTGAAGTCCTGAGCGGGATGATGATGTCGCTGGGCTCCGAGCCATTGTTGTTGCCCCCGCCGCCCCCGCCCCCACGCTTGGGGCTGGTCAGGGTGCTGAGTGACAAAGGCGGGTGGTGCGACTCGCTGTGCTTGGCCCGGCGGCGGCGATAGCACAGGGCTCCCGTCACGGCGGCGGCCACCAGCAGGACGAAGGCAGCTCCCCCGGCGGCCCCGGCGATGATGGGCACGTTGGACTGAGGCAGGGGCCCGTTCTCTCCCCCCACTTTGCCCGTGGTGTTTCCTGTTGGGGGTCCTGTTTGGGGGCGGGAGGGGAAAAAAAGAGTGCTTAGTGGAGACATCCTAGGAGTGTAGAGGCCAGGGCCTTAGCCTGAGTCTTCCCATTACACAGGCAGCCTCCCAGTTGCTTCCCTGACAACCCAGATACCCCAGCGGGCTCCCCGTTGAGCACTGAAACCTCTGCCCCAGGGACCCCCAAAATAGCACCTGCAAACACTTTTCCTGGGGCCAGAGTTCCCTCTAAGCTGAGTTAGTGTGAGCTAGCTCACCGTTTTTTAGCTTCCAGCTCACACATTTTTGTCTCCGCTCAGGAAGGATGTGGCTCCAGAGCGGATCAAAGAGTGATTAACACATGGAATTCACTGCCACAGGAAGTGGTGGCGGCTACAAGCATGGACGGCTTCAAAAGGGAATTAGATAAGCATATGGAGCAGAGGTCCATCAGTGGCTATTAGCCACAAGGTATAGATAGGGGCTCTGGGGCAAGTGATGCTCTGTATTCTTGGTGCTTGGGGGGGGCAACAGTGGGAGGGCTTCTGGTGTCCTGGCCGCACTGGTGGCACCTGGTATTTTTGGCCACTGTGTGAATGAGTGTTGGACTGGATGGGCCTTTGGCCTGATCCAACATTGGCGTCTCTTATGTTCTTATGACTAATTAATGCCACAGCCCAATCGCTCGCTCACAACTTTAATGCCAGGAGCTCACAAAGTAGAATTTTTGCTCACAAGACTCCACAGCTTAGAGGGAGCACTGCCTGGGGCACACCAAGGGTTTTGAGAAAGTGGGCGGAACCTTGCGGGGCTTTTGCCTATCAAGGCTTCTGATTGGCCACTGGGTATTTGATTGCCTGGGCAGATTTTAAAAACAACAACAACATTGCTTTGGCAGCAGCTGCCACCACGGCACAAGGATCTTCACTAGGTGATGGGAGGTCAGCTGCGGCAGCCATTTTGCAACGGCCTCTGCCTCCTGTGGCGGCCATTTTCAGGCACCCATTTTGCGGCTGCGTCCATCACACTGTGTCAGAACCCCAAAGGGGCCCAGGGGCTCAAAAAGGCCAGGGACCCCTGCTCTCCCCCCACATACTGGCGAGAGGGTATCTCCTACGAGGACCTCTGAGCCTTTAATATGCTGCAAAACAGTAAAAAGCCCAGTAGCACCTTTAAGACTAACAAACTTTATTGTAGCGTGAGCGTTCGAGAAACACAGCTCTCTCCGTCAGATGCTACCGAGCCTTTTACTGTTTTGCGGCAAGAGACTAACGCGGCTCACTCCTCTGGATTTAATATGCTGGAAATGCTCCGCTGAGGCCCCAGTGCTGGGATGACCCTGGCGCAGAAGAAACTTTCCTGCTCGTAGAAAAACAGGGAGCAGGCTAGACCGAACCTTTGTATAATCCGTTCCACCAAATGCAATACAGAGAAGAGTTATTTCCCATAAATTATGTTTCCTGAACCACTCCCTGTGGGCCATTAAGGAGAGCAAGATCAGACTCGCCAGCTAGGCTGGCTTCTGGTTCAACACGGAGCAGGTTTTGGGGGCGGGAGAGGGGGCTCCTCTTAGGGGAATAAGGTCAGTCCTGAAGCCAAGAGGCCACAGCTTAGCCCCACGACTCCCACTCGGCACGGAGAAGAGAAGCCCGGAAAGAAAGGCCATCCATCCGAGAAAGGGTTTGGCTCGTTACAGGGACTTCCCCAGTCGCCGCGCTTCCAGAGAGAAATTGCTGAAAACTCGGCTAGAGCAGACATGTCCAAGCAGTCCCGCTTGGCGGGGAAGGTGCTCGTTAGTGTCTGTCGACTCTGGTTAATGGAGCTAATTGCCTCCCCGATACCTCCCCTGGCCTGGCTCTGCAGGGTTCATTTCAACCATCAGCATCAATAAAGCTCAATCTGCACCCCCGCACCCGGCTCCCTCGCCGTTTCCTGCCGCCACGGAAGAGAGACAGGAGAGCAGGCCATTCCACCGCAGCTGGGCCCCCCCCC